TCAAGTCCCTGTTACGTTGGCGCCGTGCGATCGGCAAGCATCTATGAACATGCGCACTTACAGTTGGCACAGTCTGAGGCCACAGTCCGGAGCCAAACCATTCCACACAAGGGAATTTGACAATGCTGACAGGCTGGCGTCCTGCAGGACTCAACACCGTGAAATGTGAAGCGTCCGGCTGTGTGTGCTGCCAACAGTTTTCCGATTGAAACTCACCGCTGCTGACCTTCTCGTCCGCATCACCCGCAGGTGTGCCGTGCCTTTCAAATGTTTGTCAGCGACATGAATTCGTGTTGGGCACATTGGCCAACTTGAAAGTTGAGTCGTTCTCAGGAGATGCAGATCGATGCAGTCTACCACGACCGATGTCTTCCAGACTTGGCATAGTAGTTCTCTTCTCCTGAAGGGTCGCAGGGCTGGAAATGTGTGGTGGCACCCGGAAAAACACAGTAGCAATGACGTGGCACATTTTCGCAAGGAAGCCCAGAACCCAGCCTCCGGAGCCGCTCGGATAACTGTTCCAACTCCACCCACGCCACGTCTGCTCCTCTTTCGCCCAGGTGCGCTGAAACCCTGAGCCTTGTTCTTTGGAGCCCCCCCATGCGTCTTTTGCCCATCCATCACCTTCAGCACCTTCGGCGCCCATTCGTTGGCAGAAAATGCCTGATCTGCCGGCTGAAAAAACCCAGCCCTTCTCGCCCTCAAGTCGCAGGAACAACCCATCTGTCCCTGCGTCGCGTTCCTCGACCACGGTGAAGCACTCACCTTCTTTGAGGAAACCTGCAATGTCTCGTCTTGCGTAGTATGGTCCTCGCCGGATATCCATACCGCCGAATCTCGTGCACTTCCATGCTGTGGTACGGCAGTGGATGGGCTTCTGATCTGCAACATGGCTGTTTCCACTGCGATGCTGTTTGTTGCACAGCAACGTGGGTGCTGCCTCTGGGAACGGCCTCTGCGCTTCCGTTGGTGTGCGCTGTGCCACCATGCCGTACACCGCCTGCAGAGCTGCTCGCGCCAGGCTTCTCGAGCTGCAGTTCGGCTGCGGCTGCTTCTCCAGCTGCTTGGGCTTTTGTGGTGCCTCTGGCTGAGCAACCGGGGCCTCGCGAGTCGCGTGACTCTCACGAGCTGCTTCTTTCAACTTACGCACCTCCTTCTGGAGACTTTGAAAATCTAGGATCAACTGGATCGGGTCGAACTGGCGGCTCTCCAGTAGTTTGATCTCGCCCTGCATCTTGGCGATCTCGCGATCTTTCGCTTGCAGTTCTGCCTGCAAGCTTGCGATTTGGTCAGCGTGCCTGGCCAAAGCTGAGACCACCGTGTCGCGCAGAGAATCGAAGAGTTTACCCACGTCTTCGGCAGACATGGCCTCGGGATCCGCACCTAGCAAGGCAGGTTCGAGATGACCTGATGCGGTCGAACCGTGAACCCGGCTGCGGTCGGAAGGGAAAAGCTTCAGAAC